TTGCATATGGTCTTCAGATCTGGGATGTTTGTTGGAGCTCCCAATTGGATTTGAATTTTCTAATAAGGCCACAGATTTTTGATTGTTTTTAAATCTGTGGACTCACTTTGCCATTTCAGGATATTTACATTATTTTCAGGATAAATAGGATTTATTTCTATGAAATAACTTTTTTTCTGTTTTCTATGCCTATTTAATCATTATTCATCTGTATACAGTTAATTATATAAAAAGTATATTTATTCCTTATTTGGAAATACAATAAATTAAAAATTTGTATGTGTACAAATATTTGTTTCTCCCCACTGTATATAGAAGGATTTATTATCAGAATGATTTGGTTGCACTAGTTTGGAAGATGTATGAATGTAATGTGGTTGTTAATAAATGTTTCTTCTTTTAGTGTTAGTGTTTTTTTGTTTTAAATTATTTGAATGAAAGTTTAAAAAAAACAATATTTGAGAAAATAATATTTCTGTAAGTGATAAGTTTTCATTCATTAAAAAAATAAATTATTTGCAATATAAGTTTAAAAAAGCATGAGAAAATAATATTTCTGTAAGACTTATCTGTGGTCTTCATTCCTGGAGCAGCTCAGTTCCATGTGTCCCATTTGTTAGAGACTTATGAAAAAGAGGAAGTCTCCAGATTTCCTACCAGTAGGACAGTTTTCTTTTTTCTATGGAATCAAAGGAATTAAGTTTTGTTTTTATTTCTTGCAGACAATGTACATTGTTACATTAGTCACTAATGATAAGTGTTACTGTCAGTGTTATTGTAGTAATAAAAAAAACCCTGTAAACTTATTGTAGCAATTAACACCTGCAATTGGTTTCTTCTGTCTCTCCATGGCACTTGTAACCAATTTAACTCAGCTGTTTGTCTATCAACCAATGGGATTAGTAGAACCCAAAAAGAATCTATAGACTCGTCCTTTTCTACCCCTAGTAACAGAACAGTCTATACCTTATGCCTACGTACAGAAAACTTCGACCAATAAAAAAGTGAATCAACAAATCTCATTGGTTAATGACACAATAATCTGAAAGTTTTACATGCAAAACGAAATTGCACCAAAACTTCTTTGAGCTGATTTTGGACTTTCAAAAACATATAAAAGAAAATGCCGACTGAACAAAAGAGTCAGAGAGTCGAACATCCACAGAGAAATTGCCAACATACTCCACGTCACTCAAAATCACGTCTTTACCGCGCAAATGTACATCAACGCTGACTCACTTGCAATTTAAACTTGACCAACTCTGTGGACATCAAATTGCAAACCTAAAACAACTTTTCTTATCCAAAGTGAACTATACTCACTACATTATTAAGTAAAAATCAACATTCGAACGATTCAGAAATATTACAGTCAAAGGTAGACCACTCTATAAGAACTTATTCCTAAAAACACTTAACATCGACATTTTTAATATTAATTAACACAATTACAGAAAGACTGTAACTGAACATGCAAATACAAAAAAGAGACATACTGAAACCGCAAATATCACACACACTTTGCTATAGTAACATATACCAAAATATTCTGTATATATATTACTTTTAATTGTATATAAATGTTTGGTTGATTTCTAAATTGAATATGTTTTGTTTTTGATTGTATTTAAAATTTGTTTATTTATTTGTTTGTGGATGCAGAAAGTCACGTAACCTACACAAATTCCTTCTGATTCACTCAATTACAATTAATTAATTCTGCACATCCCCAACAAATCCAAGAGGCAACACAAAGTTCAAGCAAGTAGAAATGAAAAACAGTGTCAGAAATCCAAACTTCACTTCTCAACAACAGAAACGCAATTTCGCCCACTAAGCTCAAAAAACAATTTCTCTCCGGTAAGCAAAAAGCAGAAGCCTTTATTCACCAAGCGATTTTCCTGATTGGCCATGCCATTTAGGGAGGAAAAGAAAATGGCATAGCTTCTCTGATACTTAAAGTAGCAGATTTTTGCTAACTACTTTTTTTCTTTAATTCTTCTTCAGCAGACTACACGCATAAAACACAAACTCTTTTTCAAAGTATGTGACTTTCTCTTTTGTTACAGTTATCAACATCCTGAACTAATAATTCACATTTCTCTTTTTTTCACAAATACAAATAGTCTTCTGATATTTTAAATGTCCGCATGGTAAAAATCTTTAAAACATTTACAAAGTTGTAAATAAGAAGTTTACAACTTTTAACAGTTGACAGCTGGGGAAGTTATAGTGGCTTTGTGGTTGAAATGAACAGTTGCCAAGAGGATTAATGAAAGATGATAATAATGAGGAAACACATGGGTAATTTTTACCAAAACAAGATAAAGAATTTGTTTAAAAATTTACACGCTTGAAGTAGTGTCAGTAGATCGTTTCAGAAAAATAAATCAGAAATTTTTGAAGTCAGTAGTTTTAACAAATTGTCATGAAGAGGAAATATTCATACAACAGATTAAATGATTTGACACAAAATAATATTCAAAAATGTTTAAGATAAAAGTAAAAGAGTTTGTTGCTCACTGAAGGGATATATGGTTATATACTTTCAAAAGTAGACGAAGAGAGGTAGTTTGAAATACTTAGCTTTCTTGGATTGTTGAGAGAAAACTCTTTTAAGTGCTGTGTGTTTGGTTAAAAGCCAATAATATAATTGCAAGTAATTTTACACTGGTGAAAATTTCAACAATGGATGTGGTGAACAGAAACAAAACCTTTCACGTGACTTTAGATATTCTTCTCTTATTAATTTAATTGTTCTTCCCATTTTATATCAAAAGGAATTTCACATTCAATACAGAGTCATTACCTTCTCTGGAGTTAGACAGCACAAGTTAATAGCTTTTTTTTGGGTGGGGGAGAAACAAACACAAAATATTATGATGATTATATGTATAGCTTAGATGTGGCACAAGGCTGAAAGTATGGGCACCCAGTGAAGATCTCACTATTCAGTTGTAATTGATCTATCAAGGTAAGCTTGCTAACCATTACATCAAGTCAAGGCGCCCCAAACAGAAAATATTATGAAAATAGTTTTGTTGTCAATACCAAATAAAAGACTAAAAATATAATAACATCCATAAATGCTGGAAAGTCTCCTCTCAGAATATCAGCTTTTTGTAGTTGAAGAATAAGTAGAAGAAATTTAATACTAAGTGAAATGAATACCTCAAACAACCATATACATCAGTGGTTCCCAAGTGGTGTGGCACGCCTCATGGGTGCAGCAGAAGAGGATAGAAGGTGAGGCAAAATGACTGAAAGACATTCAAAGATTTAGAAACAGTTTCAAAAAATTCATATGGCAAAAATAAATGATTTCAAAATTTTAAATATTATTATGGATTACTTGTAATTACATGCATGATTCCCAGTATAAATAGTTATAAATAATTATTGACTGATTTTACCAATGTGATATTTTTGCATTATATCAAGTACTAGCAGTAGAGCCTGGCCTTGCCCGGGGATGTAACAGTAAGAGATAGATCAAGTATCAACCATCATAAAGACTGAAAAATAAAATTGACAAAGATTATTGTTTAAGGTTGACGGACACGCATGTCTTAATTATTTTTTTTTTTTTTTTTTTTTTACGAATTGGTCAAAACCAAACTCAAACAAAAACATTGTTTTCAATCGTTATGAGTCTACCGATTGAATAGAATTTTATTATAAACAATTGTCTTGTAAATAGAATTTTTAAAGCATTCTGAATGTAAAAATAAAGAAAAAAGTGTGCAAGACAATAAGAAACACTACCTGCCAAAAAAAAGTGAAGTTTTGTTGAAATCGGTTGAAAAATGTAGGAAATCCGATCCAATATATAAACAAACACACACACACACAAACAACCTGGGTTTTATAAGTATAACTAAATATGAGTTGTCCCCCTTTCATTCTCGCGCCAGCAATGCCTCGTAATCGTGTTTTCAAATTGATTTTGAGCAAAAACAATAGTGTTTTTCCAATTTTTGGCACTGTCAGAACCACCACAAGGTACTTTTACGTAGTCCTGGGAAGTTTTGTTGAAATCGTTTGAAAAATGTAGGAAATCCGATCCAATATATAAACATACAGAAACACACACACAACCTATAGTAACTAGGCTCCACAAATTGGAGGAGAGAGTTATCAATGATGATTCAAATCCATGGTTATCTCCCTTTAAACCACTCTTTGCTTTTTTATTTTTAAATGTACTTTTTATCACATAAAATTTGAGGTGCAAGCAATTTTTAATTCTGAAAATGGAGCCAGATAAAAAAAGTTTGGGAACCACTGATATACATGAAGAACATTAAAAGAACTATTAATGAAGAGAACTATTAATAAAATTCCATCACTCCCTGTAAAAAAAACCTTAAACTTTAAGAGATTAGATCCTGATATCTCGTCTGCAGTCACTCTCTCACAGACGTGCCGTCGCCTCCCTCTGTCTTTTTTACAAATACTTTCATGGTAACTAATTCGATGAGCTGCATTTGCTGGTTCCCATGAATTTAAGCATTCTACTAGGCTGGCATCTCACTCTCACTGTTTTACTGTCAAACTGTTAAATGTAGATATCCCTTCTACTCAAATAGCTTCATGTCTCACACCTCTCGCCTGTGGAACTCTCTCCCCTTTTCCTGTTTCCTTGATAGCTATAATCTCCAACTATTCAAATGTAATGTCAATCGATGCTCCAGATGCCTTGTTCTATCCCCTATCCTTCTCTTCATCCTTTCCTCTATCATTCCTATTTGCTGTTGCTTCAACTCTCTGTAACCCCTTGCATGCTAGTGGCTTCCTGTCTTGCTTGGGGTGAAACGCTTAAAAAAAAAAAAGATCTGCAGTATTCTTGAGGTAGCAAAGGGCAAGGATGTTTGAAGAAGGACTGATAAGAGATATTTACAAAGTTGCTGAAGATGATGAATCAAACTGATTTACAATGGACCTTCAAGTCAAAACAGCTCTCATAGTTGTGCTAATTATTTGTTTGAAAAGTTTATAAAATGACGGAAAAATTGAAAGGTGAATTTAGTTACTTGATATGAACAAGAAGTATGTAAAAAATGTAGAGTTTTTTTTTAAACTCATTTTCTGTTATGAAAAAAAAGAAACTGTTTAGTTTTTATACTAATTCTTAATAAGAATATATTTTAAAAATAAAATTTGTAGGTAGCTCCATGGACTTTCTATAAAAAATGCTCAAAAATGTATTTTAAATAATTTTTTAAATTAAATGTCCTCATTGAAGTTAAATTTGGGTTTGATTTGAAAATGTCAAAAAAAGAAAAATTATTCTACATCTTTAAGATTTGAAACATTTTTTAAATAAAAAAAATTAGATACCTCGAAACAAAAAAGTGGAAAAGCTATATACAAGTTTAAAATGCTTTTTAAAAAATTAAATATTTCTTGAAACTTTTGTGTTAGTTTTAATTCCAAGCTAATAGATTAAATTTAATATTTCCAATAAACAAAATACTTTGGTGTATTTCAAACTAAATTTAATTTGATTGGAATTTTTTTTTCTTATCAATAAAATCTATAAATTCATCCATAATGACAGATCTCTCAATCAGTCAGTTGTGTGTTATGTGTGATACACGTGTGGGCTATGATGTATTTTCAATACATGACTGATGAGGCAGATCTTTTCCCGCAGTAGGTTGCCATTTCTTTCTGCGGCAGACTAGTTGCCATCCAAGGCTATAGAACCTGGTCTGTGCTGCTATTTATCCATATCTAGAGGGAGAAGAAGAGGATTCATACTGTTCCCAATGGCATTAGCACAGAAGTGAATGTAATGGATTCAACTGGAATTTGAACTAGGCTCTCCAATTCCTCAATCTGAGCCGCTATCCATTACTCCACGGTGCCTCCTCGATCTCTCAAGAAGACATTAAAAGAATCTTTCAAAAAAATAGAATATATTTTCTGAAGCTTTACTTGAGTAAGGTTAGATTTCTGATTAGTCTTCTATCGTTCTCAGTCCTTAGTAATGTTTGTTTTCTAATTAAAATTTCATTAATCTGAATTGAAACAAATATTATTAGTTACTTTTAGTTAAAAAATATCACAGTGGTGCTTTTTTCTGACGTGTTGATTGATTTACTGACAGCCTGTTTAGTTTAGGTAATTTAAGTAAGAGAGACTGAACTGACAGAAAGTATTCAACAAATACAGCATGAATACCTTTTCATATGTTTTTTTTTTAATGATGTAATGAATATGCATACACCTGGGTTCCCCCTCACAGTAATATGATTAGCTGGTGACAGCCATAAATACAGAGTGATGTGGAGGTACATGACGATGCCTATTGTCTTCGCCTATTGCCTACGACAAGGACCAGTCCATTATGGTTACCTGCTAGATTGTCCTACCTGGTTACAGTAATCAACAGCCACTTTGCTACTTTTGTTATAGACAAGCGTATGGTTGCAAGAAAGAAATACAACAACAGTAGAAATAGATTTACATGGTTTATTTCAACAGGAACGTAAGGGTTTGGGACAGCTACCTTGTGGTGTAGTTCATAAGCCGGTTTTCGGATCTGGTCGATCTCTCATAGTAGTTCACACATGTTGACGGTGGTTGGTGCTCTCCTGCTGACAGCTGCTGAACGTGACCGGTCTCCTTTGTGGCCACCTGTTGACTGCCTGTTGAACTTCCCTGTGACCCCTTTTATAGCGTTTTTTTATGGCTTAACAGGCTCGAGAAACGAAGCAAGTATAATTAGGAGGGAAGCATTTTTATTGGACGAAAAATAGAGCACTTTAAATATTATTTTATTTTTCGACCGGAACACGTGTGTCGGAAATATTTGTGAAGAAAGATAATGGTCATTTTGTGATGGGGCTTTGTCCCGTTCACATCCGGTTCTCGCTCTTGAGTATTTGCCTGTAAATCAGCCGAGATATGTCTTATTTTATTTTATAACACTTTGAACAAATATATCCCTTTCCAGGATATATCATTTAACTACCCAGTAATCTCAAAAATTTAAGAAATTATAAGCAGTTTAATATTTTATTGAATTTTATGTACTTTGATTTTAAAGTAATGCTATATAAAGTTTATAGCCTTACTTACAAAGATGCTTGTTTTTTTTTTTAATTGAAATTTACCCCAAGCAAGAAAGTAAAGCCACTAAGACACAAGAGGTTGCTGGGTGTGGAAGAATTAGAAAATAGAAAAAATTATAAAGGAATGAGAACAATAGGAAAGTAATCAGGAAGACAGTTGATAATCATTGACATTACATTTAAATTTTTGAAGGTCAAAGTTGGCTGGAAAGCATGGAGCCGGAAAAGTGTTCCACAAGCAGGAAGCGCAAGAAAAACTGTTAGCATAGAACTTACGGTTAGATCTAGCCAATTCAACAGTAAATTGATGAAACCTTGTTGCCAATCTAGTACTGTGCTGAAATTCATAAAGTCTAGGTACTAGAGCAAAGAGTTCATCTGAACAATTACCATGAAAGTAACTGCATAAAAAGTACAGGGTAGCTACAATATGGTGGTGGAGAAGTATGGTGGTGGAGAAGATACCATGTCAGGATTAATAATATTTCAGATTCTTTGGATTTTATCAAGAATTTCTAAATATATAGCAGTAGCATCTCACTATATGTAGCAGTGATATTCTAAGCATGGGCGAATTGTAGATTTATAGATATGTGAGATAGATTCTGGAGGGAAAAATTGTCTAGCACAACACAGTGAACCTAGCAGCAAATGTAGCAATGGATTCAATATAGCCTTTCCACTTCACATCAGCCAAAAATCTTAGCCCAAGAAGGTGCAATGAGTCACTACCCTGGAGGAGTGGAGTAATGCTGATGGAAAGTAAAAAGGGGTCTCTCAGATGGTTAATAGACAGCAGTTTTGTTTTGGAGGTGTTAAAATTAACAAGCCATTCTTTGCTCCAGTTAACAACAGACTGTGGGTCATTTTTGATATCAGCTGTCAATTTGATCGTATCAAACTGATCAGACTTACTATTGAGACAGGATTAAATGGTTAGGTCCTCGTGTCTAGATACCAATTTGTGATCTGATGCCATTAAGATGGTCATTAATGAAAATTAAAAACAAAAGTAGGACCAAGGATAGAGTGTTGGAGGACACTTCAATTAGTAACAATCATGACACCTAAAAACATTGGCTATTTTAACAACAACAAAAAAAAAATCCTTTCAGTCAATTAAAATTAGATTTTGAAATACAGCTAAGTATTTTGCTTACTGCAAATATTTAATCTATTAGCTTGAAATTAAAACTAGAATAAAGGCTTCAACAAAGTTTTTACATTTTTTAGAAATAATTTTAAGCCTTAGGTATCACATTTTTTGTGGAGGTCCCCTACATCTTGGTGATGTCTAGTGAAGAAAAGAGAAAGAATTTGTAGTGTTACTGACTCATAGGAAGTAGTATGCACTCAACTGCCTCATAGGTAATAGCATAGCTGTAGGCACTTATAGTTTTTTTGTGACTTCATGTGTAAATAAGTTACCTCAGAATTCTTGATGTTTACACATGGATCTAAAATTTTGTTTGAACTCCTGGGATGAAATATTATCATTATTCACATTTCGCTTGGATTGGATAATTCTCTCATTTTTTGGCATTTTTTTTTTTTTAACAGGGAGTTGCAATTTTTTGCATTCATATTTTTTGGTGATAACTATTTTATTTAAAAATGTTTGAAATCTTTATTTAAAGACATACATTAAGTTTTTTTTGTTTCTTTTATGGATTTTTAACTTTATCTTTCAAAACCAAAATTTAACTTGGAATACATTTAAAAATGAACATTTAAAATGATTTTTTTAGTTATTTTTAGTAAGTCTATGGTTGTACTTAAAAAAAGTAAAAACTAATTGCGATTTACTAAGCGTACCTTAGATGTGGCACAAAGCCGAAAATATGGAACACCTAGTGAGGATCGAACTCAGTTGTAATTGATCTGACTAGCAAAAAACAAGCTTAAATAAAAGTACCACCGCGTCGAAATTATTGTGCAAAATAATACATATTTTTAAGTTAACCAAATAATTAAAAAAATAAATCAATGAATGAAAATAATCAAATTATAAATAAACAAAAAGAAAATACATAATAAAATCCGAAAGCAATCAAGCTTAAAGTTTTACTTTTAAGTTAAAAGTTTTAACTTTGATAAAATTAAAGCATTTCAGTAATTTTAGAGTTACGTCCCTTAGCTTCTTCTGACACCCAGAAGGCGCCTTTTTTCTTCTTCCGGTACATTCACTTCCTTTTTCAATTTGGTCATCCTTTTCCGGTTAAGTCGCCATACTGTAAGTTTCTATGATTTTTGTCGTTGAACTTCATTGTCAAAATCCATTATCATCGCTTTTTATTTTTCACATTTTTTGATGGGTTTTGCATTCATATTTCAATTTAAAGCCTATCTGTCAGTATTTTTTGTTTTTAAGTTATTTTTTGGTTGCTAAAAATCCAATATGAAAATGTGCTTTCAGTAAGAGCATAATACGAAAGAACTTTGTCGGCATCTCACACATAAAGACATTGTAATTTTTTTTTTCTAATTTAATCTTGTCAATTTCAGGAATAAATCCTGTCTAAATAGATACATGTTGTACACCCGCTCATAATGTTTAAACTCCTTTATTTTTATTAGTCTTTTCTATGTCTTTATATAAATACAGACTTAATAAATATGAAGCCATGTGAAATGTCTTCAAATCCACATGGTTGTCTTTTACAAGTTTTATTTCAGCGATTCTGTACAATGTCGTGAAACCTAAAGGAAATATGTTATATTCAACTGACTTTGCACTAGGTTTTTGAGGAAAAAATAATTTTCTTGTATTTGATTTAACTTTGCTGCTTTAGATTTTTTTTATTTATTTATTTCTTTACCTACTAAGTACGTGTTTAAAATCTCGTATATTGAAAACTCTAAAAAATATTAACGTGACTCGTTTATTAAATATCTTGGTATTAAAAATTTTTTTTTCTTTTTTAATTTATCTGTTAAAAATTAATTTTCATGTTTCCCACTCCCAAAGTAGTTCGTCTCATTCCTATTTTATTTATTTTTAAATTTGTTAGTGAAATCAATTTCGTTTTTTTTCTCATTGGCAAAATTTCAGTCTAAGATTTGAAATAATTCTTAACTATTTCATAACTTAATTTCTGACTAATTTTTAAATATTTATTCGTATTTTTAAATTTGTACACGTGGTCATTCAATTTTTTCTAATGCCACCTCATGATTTACAAGACTTTTTTTATGGTACGAATCCATGGTTATTTTTACGGTAAAATTAAAAATAACCATTAATATTTTAGAAGTATTCCACTTCATTTGCTTTGTCGAATTAGGTTCGCCCGAAAATGTTGATGCTTTCCTTACCTTTTTATAATCATTTTACATATACGTACCATACTCCTACACCGAAAAAAAAAAAAAAAAATGACCAATTCCAATCATTTTTTGTGGGATTACACAGTGTTACTGTTTTTTTTTTTTTTTTTTTATAGCCATTTCATGATATATTGGGGAAACCCGGTTAATTTTATTACAATAAAGAATTTAATGGGTTTATTTTCACGCCGACATTTTCATTACTTCAAACAATGTTTTAGTGGACACTTCGTATAATCGAAATAGTTGCCTTATTTATTTATTTATTACCAATTTTTGTGTATCACGGCTAAGAAGGGGTTCATAGATAAAGCTAGCTATGAAGAAAACTTCAACAGTTTGTATCGTGCCAAGACTTTTTATTTATGGGGGCCCCCAAGTTGTGACTCATGATGATATTTTAATTCCACAGCGTTCTTATATCAACGTGATTGATAATTATATTCTGAGGTCACAGGGGGTCAATCCCCTCTCCCCCATCGGCATGTATTGTTAAGTTAGAGTAGACCTAGTGTGCATGTGTAAAATTTACGAATTTCTACTTTGAGTCAACATCTACCCCCAATTTAAATTTTAGGGCTATGTTGACCTCCTGTATCAAGCCGTGACCGGTAACTTTTCTAAATAATTTATTATAGGGAAAAAAATACACTCATTAAAAATAGTGAATTTTAATTTAAAAAAAAAATACATTACTATTTTCTAGCTAGACGGCTATTGATACTTGGTAAAATCGAAAACTGATATTTTTTTTATTATAGAGGTGGGGGATCCTATAACGTCGATTTGTGGTGTTTTTTTTTTTTTTTTTTTTTTGTTTTTTTTTTTTCTACTTTATGAGACTTTAGGTTAAGCCACTGAACTATTTACAAATGCCAGGTTTAAAATGGTGCTATACTTCAGTATTGATATCTGCATTAAAAAAAAAAAAAATTTTTTTTTTTTTTTTTTTTTTTTTCTGAAACCTGCAAAAATATAATTTGAGGTTCATAATTACCTAACTTAAAGACTAAAAACGGATGCATATCTTTCTATGTAAATTTATAAAATGTAAATCTTTTATTCATATGAAAGTATATATCTGTTCTTTATTTAAAAAATTAACCCCTCCCCCATCTTGGACTTGAAAAAAAATCCTATCTATTCATGAATTTTCTGAAAAATGACATACCTATAAAGTTCTAAAAAATTAATTTTAAAAATGAAAAATCGTTATTAAAGCTTTCTTTTTAGCTTCAATGGTATTATACCCAGTAAGCAAAATACTTAGTATTTAAAACCGAACTTATATTTATTGGAATAATTTTTTTTTCTTCAGTAAAATCGATGGTGTCTTGCATTTTAAGACATCTGTAGACAAGTTAAATTCTGTCTTTAAAAATCTTGCTAAAAATAAAATACTTTTAGAAAATTTAAAACAAACATTACTTTTTTTAGCAGGAAAAAGGATAGAAAATAAAGCATTTCTTAACTCTAGTCAGTTAAATGCTTTTTCTACCATCAATCAAGTCTAATGGCTTGTTTGTCAGGTGTTAATTGATGGTATTGACAGCTAAGGCCAGAAATCACCCTAATGGATGAACAGAAATGACATTTTAAGAACTTAAGTCCCCAATTTTTATAAATTAACATATTTTAAGCAATCTAATATTTTATTAATTAGGTACTTAAGCTTTCTAAAAGTCTTGTTTTGAAGATACTTCCTGGGAAAATAATCAAATTTAACAAAATAAATTAAAAACTTCATAAGAGGTATCTATAAATTTTTGTGCATCTTCTGTCTTAGTGACAGAAAATGAATTGTTTTACCTAGTTACATATGATCACATTTTCTTTTCCATAGATGAAATTTTAAAACCAAAATAGTAAGCTGGGGTATTGGACTTATGTATCTGAAAAGAGATACATCATGTGAAAAATATTGTCCAAAGTGCAATATTAATTTACTTAGATGAAAAGCTAACAATTAATCTCAGTGTGTTTTGATGGTAGGACATTTGTGAATAAATTTATTTATCATTGTTTTTCACATGGAAATGACCTGCTTCATTTACAAACGTCAGGCAGTGGGGTGGAAGTGTAGTCTGTAAATCTATGCTACTGAAATCAATGTAAAAGTTGATTTAGTATTTTGGACATGAAACTGGAAGATAGATGGTAGGTTTATCTTCTATAATAAACTGGCAACTTGAATCTATTTATCTAGTTTGTGAATTTATCTCTCACTTAGAATAATGTACTATTTTATTGCAATAATTTTAATTGACAAGTGCATAACCATAGCTACTTTTAAAAATGAGTTTTGCATCTTGAACTTCCTCTTACTCAAAAATTTGAATTAAGATAAAAAAAAAATCTGTTCAGTTCTGTTGAATTTTGTAGTGAATTCTTGTTGCACTGATCTTCTTGCTTGATATGGATTCACCAGTGCAACATGGTTGTTGCTTTAGAACAAGAGAAATGCTTTTATTTTCAAGTCATCATATTTCTTAGAGAAAAAAGCTTTAAATGTCTCATGATGAAACTTCATGCACCACTCTGACACCTTTTTTGTGTGACAGATACACAAATCCTATTTCTGAGGACATTTCTATCATTTGCCTGCCTTTCTCTCATGATGAATCTTTACCAAAAATACAAAGTTTTGGGACCTAAGGAATTCATTAGAATTAATTATTTTAACATACGAATCATTAAATGAAATCATTTACTTTACTAAAAGAATTTTTGTTCATTCTTTACTTGTCATTTGTATCACATGAGGGCACATGAAGGGCAAGTTCCAATAATAGAACTATTTATTTCAAAGAAAACAAAATGTAGGTTAAAAAGTTAGTATTTTCCAGGAAATCCATCAGCAATTTATTTTTGCTTATTTTATTCACTTGTCTTTGATTAAAACGTTTTGCAAACTTTAAAAAAAAATTAAATGGGAATAAAAAAAAAATTCTTTGATTTTAATTTTTCTTGAGGTTTTGCAGTTGTCTTCTAGATGTTTGTCCTGTTTTATTTTTATACTAATTCAAAAACTTTAACTATTTGCCTGGTGACTGATGATGACAAATTTTCTCACAGCGTTCATATTTTTTTCCAGTGATTGATAAAATTTTCTGAGGCCGCTTGGTATAGCTGTTTGTTTTTACTAATCAGGGTTTTTGTTCCATTGCAACCAAAAGATAAATTTATATCACAAAGTGAATCTTTTTTTTTTTTTTAGCCTTTTTTGATCAACCACCTTTCTCAAATTATTTGACATAATTTCAGGCATTTTAAAGCTATAACGGAAATGATTTTGATTGTTTTATTTCTTCCGCTTTTAGCAATGACCATATACCTGTTGAAATAATTGATACCTGAGAAAAACTACTCAATTATAGATAGGGTTTAATGCTTTTGGATAAAATTTAATTGAAGTTTGTAAATGTCCCATGATGAAACTTCATGCACCACTCTGACACCTTTTTTGTGTGACAGATACACAAATCCTATTTCTGAGGACATTTCTATCATTTGCCTGCCTTTCTCTCATGATGAATCTTTACCAAAAATACAAAGTTTTGGGACCTAAGGAATTCATTAAAATTAATTATTTTAACATACGAATCATTAAATGAAATCATTTACTTTACTAAAAGAATTTTTGTTCATTCTTTACTTGTCATTTGTATCAAAACTTCTGACTTCCATTTCCATTAGGTACCTCCACTTTTCACTGAACAAAACTACATAGCATGATGAAAATAGACCCCAAACTTAATAAAAACAAAGTTTTAGCATCAAAAGGGTAATAGTATTAAATTTTTAAGTCTTGCACATTCAACATTTTGGTTTAACAAATCTGACACCAATATAATGTTTACAATTAGTGTTTAGTGCCTTTTCTTCCGAAAAATATATTGGGAATTCTTGTAAAAATCAAATTGTCAGGTTTCCATGAAATTTTGGGAGATAAAATTTTCATCGCCAAATTTTTTTTTTCTTCTTCTTTTAAAGCAGGACTCTTTTGCAGAACATAAATCATCAATTTTCAAACTGCTATTCATTTCCCAAAAATCTGCCCCGTATTGTTTAAAAAAAAAAATGTTTTAATTGCTTTTTATAAATAAGATTTTATTAGGGTGCCATCACCTTTTGGTAGTGGGTAGGGGGATATTTTCAATCTGTCATTGCCTTGTCAATTAAACATGCCGATGTCAGTTAAAAACACTACTGTTTGTTTGACAGGCATTTCTGTGTTTAAACTTAAAAAGCAAATATTTTTCCAAGTTAGATAATTATACTTTAAATCAGTTAATATTCCACAAAGTTTCAAAAGTATTTTTAATTTCTTTAGAAGATTTTTTTATGTACAGAGAATTGCATTGCGCTGAGGGCACATGAAGGGCAAGTTCCAATAATAGAACTATTTATTTCAAAGAAAACAAAATGTAGGTTAAAAAGTTAGTATTTTCCAGGAAATCCATCAGCAATTTATTTTTGCTTATTTTATTCACTTGTCTTTGATTAAAACTTTTTGCAAACTTTCAAAAAAAAATTAAATGGGAATAAAAAAAAAATTCTTTGATTTTAATTTTTCTTGAGGTTTTGCAGTTGTCTTCTAGATGTTTGTCCTGTTTTATTTTTATACTAATTCAAAACCTTTAACTATTTGCCTGGTGACTGATGATGACAAATTTTCTCACAGCGTTCATATTTTTTTCCAGTGATTGATAAAATTTTCTGAGGCCACTTGGTATAGCTGTTTGTTTTTACTAATCAGGGTTTTTGTTCCTTTGCAACCAAAAGATAAATTTATATCACAAAGTGAATCTTTTTTTTTTTTTTTTTAGCCTTTTTTGATCAACCACCTTTCTCAAATTATTTGACATAATTTCAGGCATTTTAAAGCTATGACGGAAATGATTTTGATTGTTTTATTTCTTCCTCTCTTAGCAATGAACATATACCTGTTGAAATAATTAATACCTGAGAAAACTACTCAATTATAGATAGGGTTTAGTGCTTTTTGATAAAATTTAATTGAAGTCTGCAAATGTCTTCGACTTTTTCTCCAGTAAATGTCCCATGATGAATTTTAATGCCACCGCTCTGACACCTTTTTCATGTGACAGATACACACATTGTATTTCTGAGGACATTTCTATCATTTGCCCCTGTCTTTTCTCTAATGATGAGCCTTATTAATGGCACAAAGCAATAAAGATGTTTGCTTTGTCATGAGATTTTCTTTGTTCCTACTTAAGTTGTCATTTGAAGTAAAACTTATTTTGACTTTATTCTCATTGTACAAAATTCTAATGAATTTATTCCTGAGAACTTTTCTTAAAGTGCACTTAAAGTTGGTCCTCAGCAATTGGAGCTTGTATTTTTAGGCTGCTTTCCTGTGGAGACTTAGGAACTGATCTAAATTTAAATTGGCACAGGGCTACACTAAAAGCATTAGATGGTTACATGCACGGCACCTAATGAACAATTAAGATGTGGATGGTTGGAAAATTATCTAATTTCTGATATAAACTTTTTTTCTCTAAGTCCATCAAACTGGTATGGGTTCAGCCCATAGCTTCAGTTGTGGTGTTGGACCCCCCACCCCCTCGTGGGGCTACCTTCTTAATGCAAATATGTGACTTTCATATGTACAATTATGCATATATGAAGATAATAATTTTGCCTGTCAGTTTCTTTCTATCTATTTATTTTTTTATTAGCAATAAGACCAGACAGGTAAACCTGTCATCTTGCGTCCTATGATGAAACTTCATGCACCACTCTGACACCTTTTTCATGTGACAGACACACAAATCCTATTTCTGAGGACACAATTGGTTTCACCATTATATCTAAATTTCTCATATTTCCTCTTGTTTGGGTGAAATGTTTGCTTGTAGGGCATTGGTCATTGTGATTGACTTAGACACTTTACTCAATACTTCAAGGATGTTCTTCATTTGCCTTGGGGAAGCTCGTCGAATCCTTAGGAAATATTTGACCTGGAAATTCGTTCAATATCTCATTTTCAAATTCTGCCAAAGAGACATGTTTTATCATTAGTCATTCGAGTTCAACATCTATTAAACACTATCCGCCAATGCAATTATTTTTCTTGAAATGGTTAGATTTCATTATCTCTCCTTTTATCTTTACAACTGCCACCTTTGCATTTTGTTTAAGTCAGTTGATGGTCTTGATTTCAAAAGTTACCATATATTTGCTACTTAGAGCCCCCCCCCACACATATATATATATATATATATATACACACACACCAAATTGGTGATGAAGTGATAAATTAGTTAATTTTCTGAGAACATTACTTTTGGTAAATTTTACATCATAAACTTAGTGTGCATACTGGGTTTGTCAATATTACTGGTAATGGTGATTTCAAGCTATATCATCAGTGTAAGGATTCAGAAGTATGGTAAGCACTATTTAACCTAAACATAAATCAAACTTAACCTTCTTTCAGTATCCGAATTAACATGTACCTAATTTAAAATTGGTGCTTCATCCTGGTTTGTGATAAATTCATCACAATTAGGATTTCAGGCAGCAATAAAGATAAGTTTCAGTGGTATTGTGCAATCAAACTTCTAATAATTTCATTCTACAAAGTTTCTATAAATTAATTTATGATTAGTCAGGTTTTCATGCTGAAATAAGCTATTCAATTATTACTAATAGATAGGTGGGGTCTAATGGATCTGAGCATTGAAATGCAGTAAATGTTATCAATATTTCATGCTTAATTGGAGTTTCTTGTATACCCTATTTGTAATAAAAAAAAAATAGGGAACTGGGGGCTGTATTATAAGTGTCAATAATGATTGACTTTTTTTTTTCCTCTTTTGACTGTGAATGGTTTCTTTTTCTTTCAGCTGTAATTAACAATGGCCCGTTTAGGTAATGGAATGGTGCCCAATGGGCACTTCCATAAAGACTGGCAACGTTATGTTCGCACGTGGTTTGATCAGCCAATGCGCAAGAAACGTAGGGCTAAGAGGAGGTTGCTCAAGGCCAAGAAAGTGGCCCCCAGACCTGCAGCTGGACTTCTCAGGCCTGTCATAACTTGTCCTAGCATCAAATACAACAGCCGTGTCAGAGCTGGGCGTGGATTCACCCTTGAAGAATTGAAGGTAACAATGTTCTTTGGCTAGTGCCTAGAAGGTGGGGTCCCCTCCCTTCTGTAATCTCAGTATTTATATGACTACATAAATCTCAAACTCCTTATGTATTATTTTCCCACATCTTTTAATGCAAATTTTAATTGTAGAGTTTCTCTTAGTTAAATTTCTGTCTGAATTTCTGGGATGAGGAGTTGTTATTTACACTATTTATATTTTGGACTCTTGTCTTCATTTTGTTGCTATCACAATGTTTTGGGTGTTGTGCGTTCTGGCGTTACTCAGGTGTAATATCAATCTGGGTTCAGGTAAGATTTCCCTATAACTTGTCCATATTTATATACACCTGAGGAAGGCTAGAGGTGGCACATCATTTCATCCATTGTGGTAACAAAAATGAAGGCGATAGAATATGAATAGTCTCTTTTAGCTGATTTTATATTCAAAGATCCTTGTTGCAATCAAATAAGATGCCATCCTCTGTTTTTAAATACAGTTGATATCTTCGTGAGGGAAGTTGAGTAACAGGAGTTTGTGTTGAAATATTAGCTTTTAAAAAAGTAAATGTACAGTTTTTCAAGTAGCCTTTAATTTATTAAAATATTCTTTAATCCCCACTTAACTGACAGCAATGGAAATTAAAATTTCAAATCCCTCTTTGCTGTTGATAAATGTTGTAACCATTTCTTGACTGAAGATGCTTAAACTGTGTGTGTGGTGGGGGTCTATCCCTACCTCAAATTCTACTTGCAGAAAGCTGGTATCAACAAGCGTGAAGCCCCCACAATTGGTATTGCAGTTGACTTCCGAAGACGCAGCATGTCTGCTGAAGCTTTACAGCGGAATGCTCAAAGACTGACGGAATATCGCTCCAAACTGATCCTCTTCCCCAGAAAACTAAGCAAGCCTGGCAAGAGAGACTCTCCTGTAAGTTTTTTTTTTTTTTTTTTTTTTTTTTTTTTTTTTTTTTTCTCCATTGACTACTTCAAAACTCGTCTGTTCTTCATTGTGTTTTTTGTATCCAATTCTTGGTGGGGTATAATGGATAGCAGCCGCAATGAGTAATCAGACTTGAGATCACTGAGAAAAATGAAAGATGAGTTTAACAGCTGTTTCAGTGAAATGGAAATTGTCAGTTTTCAAATCCTTTCATTTGTACCCACCTCTTAAAATAACAACCAACATTCCTCTTTGATTGTGCCCAAATATTTAAATATTTGGGAAAATTCTGTATAAGACATTAAGAACCCTCCTCTAATTTGCCCTCTTGTCTGTAATTGGCAGCAGTTTTTCATGAAATTTTCCCTTTTTTTTTTTTTTTTTTTTTTTTTTTTTTTGTCAAATTTCAAAATCGCAATTTCTGTTTTCATGGAAAATAAGCTGCTTCAGATTTGCATCTTTGGTTAAAAGTCAAATAAAATAAGTCCAGTTGGGTTTCTGCACAGTGTCTTGTCTGATATCTTTGGGTAACTTTTGAATGTAGTGATTCTTAAAAGAATACATTACTTAGCCAAAGGACCCCTTATCCTAAAACGCGCACAAAAATGGCCTGTGCTCAGTGACTGCAGTTGCTGATGATGCTATTCATGAGATTTGCTGGATTTTTGTGATGATGTTTCGTCGAGGCGTCTGAAACTGCTGCTGTTAGCACTCTTTCTTTCTTTCTCTCTCTCCTCACTGTTGTGAGTTCTTCCCATCTAATTTCTACATGGGTTCACTCTTGTTTGTAATTAAGAAACCAGTTTGTTTTTGTTTTTTCTTTATAGATTTGCATATTTGGTTTAGATTAGGATGAAAAGAATTCTGTTTGGGTTTCATTAGAAAGTTTTACCTTTGGATATATTTTAGGGGAATTCTGCACATGATCATTAATAGACGAATTTAATTCGGGGGGGAGGTAAATATACCTCTTACCTCTAATTTAGCCACACTTTGTAAATGGCTATTGTTCAAAGGCAGAAGCTGTTGTCTAAATTTTCCATATCTTTTGTGCTCTGTCACTCATTCCCTCAGGCCTTCTAAGACTGCTGTCGGTGTTCTCTCTTTCTCTCCTCACCCATCACCAAGTTTGATGAATTTGCATGTTTTTTTTAACTTGCCTGATATATTTTCAAATAGCCTTTGGATGGTCTCTCTTTTTTGGGGAGTGGGGGGTCCCTGTGTGACAGTTATAGGGATACATTTCCCAGCCATAATTTCAAAAACAAAAAAAAAAATTGGGGACTCTCATTTCCTTATCCCCACAGAAGTGCAGCAGTTGCTGATGAAATATTCCAAATCTCTCTTGCTGATTTTTTGCTATGATATTTGGCCAGGACTTCTGAAACTGCTGTTAGCATTCTCTCTGCTCTTTCTCCCTCCTTGGGCTGTGTGGGTAATGTGTGGTTGCTTTTTGATCCCAAGATAGATTCAGGGTTTTGTTTGTGATTAGTGTAGATTTTTTTTTTTTTTTTTCTTGTGTGTGTGATATTTATCCAGGAGTTAATTGCTTCTACTTCTGGCAAAACCAAACAGTAAACATGCAAGTCATTGTGGCTTCAGTGTTTGCTTTTTATTGGTGGGCAGTTCACCACATGCCACATGATTCCTGAGGAGTCTCAAATTTTCAAGACTGTCTTGTTTTAATGATTAAAATTTGAAGGAAATCCTTTAGGTAAGAGTGAACTAGAATGGATTATTTGATATGGAATTACCCCACCCATATCCCCAGAGTTTATAAGAATTGAGTGATTTTTGTATATTTGGTTGAGGTTATTTCCAACTGCCTTGGGGTTTTTTGGTTTCTTTTGAAAGAGATTGTTACAGGGGTTACTCAGTTATTATAATAAAAAAAAAAAACAATGGGGGGGGGGTTCTCTTGTCCCCCTACCCACTCTGTCCCAAAGCTGCAGCAGTTGCTGATGAAATATTCCAAATCTCTCTTGCTGATTATTTTGCTATGATATTTGGCCAGGACTTCTGAAACTGCTGTTAGCATTTTCTTTTTCCTGTTCGGGTTGTGAAGTAATGTGCGGTTGCCTACTGCTGATCCCAAGATATGTTCAGGATTTTGTTTGGTATTAGTAGAAAACCTTTTTTTTTTTTTTTTTTTTTTTTTTCATAACAAGAAGCAGGTAGATAGGTTTGTAGAGTGAACAGATTTCCATATCGGATTTTACTGAAATTTTTTTTTTATAATACTTAGTGAGAAAATGTAACAATACTACAACATAAATTACAACAATATTAAAGGGAATATCCACACATTGTATAAGTTGCTTCTGCTTGATAGGGTTTCGAAGCACCTACGTCAGCCCATAATCTAATTTGATGAGTTTCTGGGACAACCCTGGCAAAGAATGCTACAATCCAAAATCAGAATTACGTGAAAGTGGCAAAATCTATATAAAAAAAAGTACCAACACAAAGTCATCTACGTTATTATTTGGTCACTTTATTGAAATCGTTAAATTGCATTTTTTGAAAAGATTTGGCTTTCTGAAATGGCAAACTGTCCTCGAAAATGAAAGGGTTTTTTTTTTTTTTTTTTTGCTGTGTTCTAATCCACCCCGTTTTGCCTTTTAGTATATTTGGGGGAATTTTGTATATGATCGTTAACAGACATTTGATTGGGATGGTAAATTAAGTATACCTTATCTCTAATTTAGCCCCCCCCCGCGTAACTGGCTATTGCCTAATTCTAGTGAGCATTAATGCCCCCCCTTTTTTTTTTCTTTTCTTTTCTTTTCTTTTTTTTTTTTTTTTTTTTTTTTTTTTTTTTTTTTTTCTCTCTCTCTTTCTCTCCCACTCAACTTGGGTGAATTTGTTTTTGGTAAAAATAACTATCTTGCCTGGTGTATTTTCCAACAGCCTTTGGATAAACCCCCCCCGTGTGACAGTTACAGGGTACATTTCTCGGCCATAATTTAAAAAATATATATATATATATATATATATATTGAGGCTCTTTTTCCCCTCTCACAGAAGTGCAGCAGTTGCTGATGAAAATCTTTCTTGCTGTTTTTATTTTTTTGTTGAGGCATGAGGCCGTTACAGTTAGCATTCTCGCTATCTCTCTCTCTCTCTGGTTGGGGGTTCATGCCTAGAGCTCAATGGCTACAATTAATGATGACCGACATCTCTTACTGTTTTTTCCTGGGGATTGAGTCGTCGAGGCTCTGAAATTGCTGCTTGCACATCCACCACGGGGCTGGGTGAATTTATATATCTGGTTTTGGTTAAAGAAAAAATGTCTTGCCTAACATATTTTCCAATGGCCTTTGGGTGTTTTTGTTTGTTGTATGTGGGGGACAGTTACAGCCATAATTTAAAAAAAAAAAGTATACATGAATTGAAGATTCTCTTGTTCCCTCCCTACCTCCCACCCACCCAAAGGGGGAGCAGTTGCTGATGAAATGTTCCAGATCTCTCTTGCTGATTTTGCTATGATATTTGGCCAGGACTTCTGAAACTGCTGTTTTTTTTTTTTTTTTTTTTTTTTTTTTTTTTCCCTTAGACAAATGTCATATTTTAGAATACATGATCTATGTATGAACCAGTTTCTACAGTTTTTATCTTGAATGTTTTTTTTTTTTTTTTTCCATTAGCCTGAAGAGCTGAAACTGGCTACTCAGTTGAAGGGTCCAGTGATGCCCATTGTAAACAAACTGAAGAAAGATAAACCACGCAAAGTCACTAGAGAAATGAGGAGATTCAAAGCCTATTACACTTTGGCCACTGCTCGTGCTGACAAACGTTGCTTTGGACGAAGACAGAGACGGGCAGAGAAACGGGCAGCTGAGGAAGAATCTAAAAAGAAGTAAAAAAAAAAAAAATTGCAGCTAAATAAAAAGGAGACTGGTTTATTGTTCTTGTGTTTTTTGTTTTTGAGACTTAACAATTATGTACTATGCCTTGTCCACAATTCTACCCTTTGTGTTTCAGCAGCACTTGTTTAGAAATTTTAGTATCCTTGGAAACTTTGTAAATTATTGCAAAAATCTAATAATTGTCAGATTTTAATGACTTTTTTTTTTTCTCTCTATCTCTATCTCCCCCCCCATATTTTCTATTCTATCATTCATTGAGTCAAATTTGATTCTCAAACTTGTTAATTTTGGCAACAATTTAGACAAATGTAGTTTAACACAGGAGCATACGGTCTCTGTGTAATGTGTATCTATTCCCCCCCGTATGAACTCTCTGCTGACTAGAAATTGGGAGCATTTAGGCTATTGCTGTTTTTCTGGGGTTTGAAAGACCCTGTCAATTTTCAGGGCCTTTATGAACCCTGATATGTATATATTGTCCATGTTCTTGAATGTCAACCATTATCACTCTGTATATGACTTTATTTGCTGTACAAAACAGTCTATCTGCTACTGAAGGTTACTGATAGTTGTGTTGTCATATCCTGCTATGGCAACAAAAACTTTTGAGTTTTGACAATAAAGATACTGCAATTGAGAAACCTTTAAAAAAGAATGCAGTAGGAAGATTAATGGCAAGATCTTAGATTTTGTAATGGGAGTCTAATTTTATAAGGAAGGACATTGTCTTATGTGAGTGCAGTAGACGAGAAGGTTTTTTTTTTTTTTTTTTATTATTATAAATCATTTCGCCACGAGGGTGCAAAGGTTAGAGAATGAGAAAAATTATTAAAGAGAGTATAATACAAGAATTAAGATTAAAAAATAATTGTTGACATTGCATTTAAATTTTTTATGATTTAAAAAGTTTATGGGAAACAAAAAGTTTTCCACAAGTGAAGTGCAGTAGAAAAAACTTGGCATAGAACTTAGGGTTACATCAAGCCATTCAACTGTAAGGTGAGATCTTGCTGACAGACTAAGTACTTAAAACTTACCAGGAAATTGCAGAGAATAGACAGGGAAGCTACATATTGAAAGTAATTGATTGGTTAGAAAATCTTTTTCATTTGTTCTAACTATTGTGCTTTGCAATTTTTTTTTTTTTTTTTTTTTTTTTGCTACACTAAGTCGTCATTGGCTAATTCTACTTTATGCACAACAATCTATTCAGGCTGACCCATGTAAGACAAAGCATCAAAACGACAGTTTTTCCCATGACGCCATTTTTAACTACCTTCACTTATCAGCGTTTTTTTTTTTTTTTTTTTTTTTTTTAAGCAGTGATTGGAATAAAATCTAATTATTTGAAAATGGATTTGTTTGTGATGCCATTTGCGGTGGAATTGTGACTGTTCTCTAATCATTTGTCACTGTGATGACATCCAAGGTTCAGTGTATTTGCATATTTTTTGTGGGCCAGTTTGAGGTTATTTTCTAACCAATAAGAACCTGGTATTCAAAAGGGTCACACCTCCAATGTGAAATGAGATTTTAAATTCCCTTACAAAATAAAGTAAAAGTATAATAATACTTGAGATTCAAACCAATTTGGGGGGTTGGTTTAATCTACACCTGTGTACATGCAATGGAAGATATGACAACCAACAGCTGCCGACTAAGGCCTTGTCCATACACAATAGAAGGGATTAACCAGCAATTGCTTACTAGGCTTTTGTCTACAAACACATTAAGCTGACTGCCATTAAGTAAGTCTGTTCACTCATTTCATACCTTTGTACAAACAATTGATAAAACAAACTTCACTGCAAGGAAAATTAAACATTTCCTTGCTATTGTATATTTCCAGTTTCTGAAAAGTCTTGCAGATCATTGATTTCCATATTCCTCAATGGCTTTGATAACTTTCCAAGAAATTGGATTGGACACTGCAATTCAATCAAGTGGCCAGCACACCTTGAGATTATTTTTTTTTATTATTATTTATAGCAGGATGGTCTTCACCAAGACCTACAAGTTTCATAAGCTGAAAGCCATTTTTAACCATTAATCTTATAAAGTTGTATACAGCTGACATTTTGGAATTAGTTTGCTGTCATGCATGACCTCCAAATGAACTTTATGATCTGATGGGGCCTTTATAAGTTTTTTTGTTTTTCTGGCAATTTGAATACTTTCAACTTGTTATAGGATGATTCAACATGCAGAAAGCTTGCAAGGCCAGTCATTGTTAATGGAAAGACAAATGAGATCTTCAATAACAATGCCTTGACAAACCAAAAGATGTGATATGAGAAAGTAACAAATCTTGAGTGAACTAATTTCATCATGCATAACATGGCCATTATATTGAAGAATTCTGACTAATTAAGACTCAAGAGTTGAAGAGGAAGATCTTGGCAGAGAAGAAAGGATGAATTCTTCAGATCAGGCAAATGAGTACCTTTTATAAGCCAACCATAATTGGTTGGCTATTTAGTGCTGGGAAGAATAATCCTTCTCTGTACACCAAATACTAATATTAGCATTAGTTTATCCATTGATACACTAACACCGGATGCGAATAAGATGAGATACATGCATGTAATGAACAAAACGTTTAAGGCAAATACAATGTACGTACACATGTCCCAAAACATGATTATTCACACAATCCTAAGGACAAGAATGTTTAACGGAAACAAACCAAGAAATAAGCATACCAGCCTTATGGCCTGTCTATAAGGTGAATCAAAATTTCTTTCATTCTCTCCTGCTTTGCATTAGGCTATGTGCTCGTTCTTCATTTTCCATGTGTGTGGATACCCTGGTGGTTAGGAAGGTATTCTGTTCCCCAAACGGAAGCAAGAATTCTGCCAGAAGGAGGTGAACACAGAGTTCAACCCAATGGAAAACCACTGTTATCTCCCTACACGGATAATGCAATAGAAGCTGATTCTATGTCTGATAGGGGGAGTGATTCAGACATGGAGGAGACGAAATGAAAAAGAACAGGACATAAGCTCTCAAGGATGAGAGTAGGGAAGAGGTTGTAGGAGTTTAAGAACAGTCAAAGGCATTAAACCTCTTTGATTCAGGGAGGTATAGTAGACTGGTAAATTGGACTGTAGAAGAGAAATAAAGTGCATAATAACCTTAGAGATAGGCATAAGTCGACTATTGATGATGTGTTGTAGAACAACACTACACAACAGGCTTCATTAACTGAAAGACATTTTTAAGCATGGATCTTAGAAAGCAGCTGTATACAGCCGACAATTTAGATATTTTTGAATGAGTGGTGGCATGCATGGTATGTGTTTGCATATATATATATAAATTATAACCATGGAATATTAGTGTCTAAGTATATATATATGTATACAAAAAGGCTTAGACACTAATATTCCATGGTTATAATTTATTACATTGGAATTACAATTCCAATGTAATAAATTACAACCATGGAATATTAGTGTTTAAGCCTTTTTATTATATTCTTACTCTGTCCTGGACATTGAGTTCTACCTGGATTCTATTCTCTTGGGAATTTTTACATATATTTGTATGTATGTATGTATGTATAACCACTAATAAATATATATATATATATATATATATATATATATATAGAAAAGAGTATGTCTCAATCTGGCGGGACTATTTAAGAATACTGCCCATTTCTCAACTGGCATTATGAACACTGCTGAATTTTTATGTAACCCTATTTCAGGAAAGCTGGTAGGGAGAATATTAAACAGCCATATTTGTAATTTGATGATTCTAACTAATAGAAATCATGTAAATTACATGGATTTAATAATTCATTTTTTAATGCTGCACTGTATTTTTCAACCCGTAACCAGTATTAAATAGAAAAGTGACGTCTGTAAAAATACTGAAGTGACCTCATTAGGTCATGGAACTTAATTTAGCCTTTCACTACAAACAACTACTTTCATTTAAGATTACCCCCCCACCTTTCTCTATCCCTGTTTTACTGTCCCACTCTCTGTTTCTCCAATTTCTCTGTCACATTGTCTTCTTGTTTCTCTATGTCACTCTCACTCGTTTTATTTCCTGTGCCCCTCTCTCTGTTTCTCTTCAATCCCTCTCTGTGTTGCATTGTCTTTTTGTGTCTCTACATTACTCTCACTTGTTTTATTCTCTACATCCTTCTTTCTCTCTTTTTTTTTTTTTTTTTGTTTTACTATCGATGTCTCAATCCCACTCTTTACTGTACTGCCATTTTGTCTCTCTACACCTCCTCTCTCTTTGTTTTACACTTTTTTTTTTTTTTATTTTAAAACTGTCTTTCATGTATCTGGTAAGCATAAGCAAGAAATTGGTGTGACACAAGGGAGGTAATTATTTATAAACATTTTAATTACCTCCCTTGTATCACTGGAGTTGAAGTATTGATGCAGCCATGGTATGCCTTTTTAACGAATATATTTTATCGATTTCATTACTTTCAAGTTTTTCTTTCCAGCGAAAATTTTTCTGCTATGTCGTATTGTCTTTCGAAGGAGTGTTAAGGGAAATATGTGATGTCCATCCTCTTATATGTTAGTGAATGGTGGACAATCTCCTTACAGATGAAGAAAAAAACTGCAGGCAGCCGAAATGTGATTCTACAGAAGGATACTGAGAAGTCTATGGACGGTCTGAATAAGCAACAATGAAAAAGAAAATGGTAAGAAAAAGAACATGTAACGAGAATCAAGAAGAAACAGCTGACATTTCTTGGTCACATAATGAGAAAAGGGCTTGGAAAACTTAATTCCCACATACTTGAGTTAAATAGAAAAAAATGCCATTTCAGTGAAATTAAACAAAAGGATGCTGTAGTGAGACATAACCAGTGACGTCCGGAAGGGGCATGGCATTTTAAATTAATCCAATACATTTCATAAATCTTCCGCTGTTCTATTTTTTTAATTTATTAAATTCTTTGGTCATTATAACTTCTGTAAATTGTTTTGTGGCACAAAGATTGTTGGAGCATCCACAGG